ATCAAAGTTGGAGGCCGAAAGCCAACGTCCACACTTAAAGGGAGGATTTGGTTGGCAAATATGCGAAATTAGATATCGAAATCAAATACAATTTTGTTGAACGGTGAAGTTAAGAAAAAATTAATAGAATTAACAGAGGCGAAAAGAATGGATTTTGTGCATGCAAAAATAGTGAACAGAGAGAGTGCCAAGGAGTTCACTGCGATTTGCGAACTGTTTTCGCTGGTGTCTGATTGAGAATTTCACCAATCCCTTTCATATGTAACAGGCCTAAATGACAGGGACATTAAAATGCTCATGTGAAGGCCTACATAACCAGGCCAATAAAATCCCTTTCATATTTGCAGTAATCGGGCCATTTAAATGCTCATGTGAGGGCCTCCGTCCTGGCCCTGCTGTGGTGTTTGAGCTAGGATTATAATCTAGGTGTAATTTGTCAGAAATGCCCCTCCGCAAATTAGGGGTTGCTTTTCAATAGCTGAGTTGGCAAAAGTCGGATACACACTCCTGTATATATATATATCTGTTGACTGTTGATGTTGACAATGAAAAGTCCTTCGATCAATGATCATAGAAAAACTCCACTGATTTTCTTCATGGACCAATTTATGACCAAATTTTTAACTTTTAGGTTCCTGCCTAAGGCTGCAAATGAGCCGATTCGAGTCGAGTTTTACCCCAGGTTGAGCTTGGCTCGTTAATGAACGAGCTGAGCTCGGGCTCGAGCCATTTATTAACGAGCTGAGTCAAGTTGAGCTCGAGATAGGCTTGGTTACTAAAATCTTTATTTGACACTTCATTTTGAATGTCATGTATGATACATGTGATTAACTCATCTCATATTATACTTTGTTGGCAACATATTATGTAGTTAATAAATTTTAACTAGTCCAAATCGTGTTATTTAACAATATCGAAGCAATCTGTGATATAAAGATTCTTTTAAAATAAAAAATAATATTTATTTGCTCACATACTAAGCGTGTTAAATTTCATATAGGGTGAGATATATAATTTAACAATCTTATGAATTAAATTCATTAGATATATATCGATTCGCCCATAAGTAGGTAATCGAGTTGGCTCTCTAGCCACAATGTGTGACATCTCATGAGCTTTATACGAGCCAGCTCACGAGTTTAGCTCAACAAGCCACCGAGTTCTATGGGTTGTTGTGGGTTCAGGGTTCTCTTTGTGGCCCCTTTTGACAGGGACGGTTCGCTGTATGGGATTGGGTGGAATGGGTCGGATTATGAATAATCTGTTCGTATAGAAAGTGTCAGGTGAACTTTGTTAGAAGCACTGGTGGTTATTCGTTTTCCATTTCCCACTTTTGTGTTCTGGTTTTGGTTGTGGGTTCTGTTTCACTTCTAATATTTCTGTTCTGTTTGAGATCGAAGCTCGATGTGTGAGTACTATGAGTTTATGTTTTCTCACGGAAGGCATTGATGGAAAGCTTTCAGTAATCAATGGGTTCTTCATTTGGTCTCTGTGTGTTTAGTTCTCCAGGGAAGAAATGTTGTTGCTGTACCATCACTTTCATTGTTTTTAATTCCCTTTCGTCAAACGCATCTGTATGTTAGACCATGAGCATTGTAAAGACTATAAAATGCCTCCGTGAGATTCTGACAGCAGTAGCACCAATGAAGAAACAATAATGAAGGCTGCTGGTGATATGGGAAGTTTTAAGGAGCACCCAAGTAGGGTCCGTTCGAAGTAGACACCAAGTTTCATACAAAGAAGACAATCAAAAGTGACAATGAAGATCTTACTATCCCTAGGGGAAAAAAGGGCAAAATGTGCTACTGAAGAGGATGTTGGGAATGGTGTATGAGAGGATACATTTGAGGAAGATATGGAGCCTTTCTGAAGGGGTTGTTGCTGGAGAAAAGAACAAGTTGAATCCAGATGGCTTAGTGAATGAAGATGAGAAGATAGTCCAGGCATCTGCTGTAGACACTGAGACTTTTGCTCTTCCCGATTCTGATTTCAACGACTTTTAACAAAATCCGTGACAAGAAGGGCTCTTTTGAGCTAGATCTAGCTGCTCCCTGAGAAAATGGATCAGGGTCTTTCATCTGGAGCGTGTGAAATGTTTCAACTCGGTTTTCAGAGCTCAAGCAGAGAAGGAGGGATCAGCTGCTGTGGTGAAGTTGTCCGAGTTGATTCGGTTCTCTCACCAGATCCCTGCTTTCCTCCTGACAAACGAGAAAGGTGGCAGCTTGAGAGGGTTCTGGGAACTTGATATATAGCAGCATTGCCAGTTCGCTATTTTAGTTGACAGCATTTCATGTAGTCACCCAATAATGGTGGCAATTGTTGGTTTCTACTCAAGAGACTACCTTCTTTTGTTTTAGGGTCATTGTAGGATTTTCGTTTTAAACTTAAATATGATTAGCACTTTTCATTATAGACCTAATCTGTGACTGTAGCAGGATTATGGGATGGAGATGCAGATATCAACCATGACCTAGTGTACTTTATTTTGTAGTCTGGAAAGCCTCTAGCAAACTTTTTGCTGTTGGGTGGAATGAAAATGAATGTTGAATGGCAGGTTCAGTAAGCAAGACACCTGGGAGTACTCTTTATCTTCATGATTTCTCATAATGTTTTTTCAGCAAAAAAGAAGAGGAATGAAAATGAATGTTGAATGGCAGGTTCAGTAAGCAAAGCACCCAGCAGTACTCTTTATCTTCATGATTTCTCATAATGTTTTTTCAGCAAAAAAGAAGAGCTAACTCTGAAAAATAGAAACTCAACAGAGGGGGAAAACTTATGGGGCATTCCGAGAATTGAACTCGGGACCTCTCGCACCCTAAGCGAGAATCATACCACTAGACCAAATGCCCTCTTCACGATAATTATTACATCTTTAAATTCTTATAATCTGTTCTTGGCCAAGAGTGAAATTGGCAAATGTATCAAGTTAACTTCTAACCTAATGCACTTCTCAATTTTCCCTCCCAAAAGGCAAAAACGCGCCAACCACTCCACTTCCGGAAAGCTGTGTTTTCTCACTCCACTAGCTCGCTTCCCGCGCGGCAATTGTTCTGCTTCTGGCCTGTAATCGCGGCGCTGCTCTTCTTCCTCTAAGTTCTTCCCTTCCGCTGATTTTCTTCTTTTGGATTTCGACGGCGAACTGAGAGGGAGAAGGAATGGTTTCCATGGGTGACTGTTTCGGCGATGCGGTTCGATTAGCGGAGGACGACGCGACCACCGATTTTCCCGACGGCGATACTCAGCGTTTAGATTCTCAATGGAGTTCGCCTTCCTCATCAGGTAATCTCTGATAACTCTCTGGCATTCCTTCTTCCCGAAGTTTTGTTCGTCGTGGAGCTGTCGATTTAGGTTAAAAGAACAGTTCATTTGGATCCGACGCTCGAATTTTTGAACTTGATGATGGTTTTGGTCACGTTATCCTCTTTATTAAGTTTATATAGCTTCAATTCTATTTTCCAGAGTTGGTCGATTCCTCGCGATGGAGATTGAACACTCCAATCGAAGGATTTTTCGTGGAGAAAAAATTGGGATTTGTGTTGTGTAGAAATGGAAGTTACAAATGGCTGAGAATGCAAATCTGATTCTAGGTATGACGGACCTGATCATGAACATAGATAGTTATACGTGTATGGAGTTGGTGATTATATGGTTTGATTTGTTATCTTTAAGGGGTTTTGTTTTCACCTGTGTTGGGAAAAATTGATTTACCAGGCGGAAAAGGTGGTTATGATGATGGCGACTTGTATATGGGGACAAGAAAGGTTTCGTTTGATGATACTCTTCTGGTTGAAGATGTTTTTGAGACCCAAGTTGTGAACTATGGGGATGAAACACAAGTACTGGATGATGCTGATCTAGATTTGCTTGGGAGTACATGCACCAGGAGGATTGATGATGAGTTCAGTGATCGAGTGTCTCTCGATAGTGATGGTGAAGGTACTGACGCGACTGCAGTTTTGGAAAGTGGGGAACGAGCTCTCTGATTCCGAATCCGGGAGAGGAGGAAAGCTTGAAGAATTGACGGGGGAGAAGTTTGTGGATGAAGCAAATAGTTTGTCCAACCAGAAGAAGCTTGTGATCTTTTTTGAGGCTTGGTTCACAGTCACAACTGCATCTTTTGGTCTTGTAATGGGCTCGGTTCCCCTAAGTTACATGTCTTGGGTTTGCATTTTTTCTTCTTTCCCATATTTCCATTCTAGAAATGTTGGATAAGATCGGTTAAGGATAAGCTGCAAACTAATTGTGCATGTCACTCTCGCGGGTTGTAAATGAGTCTGGCTGAGGTGCTTGCACCAAGTGACGCATGTGAGTTTTTAAATGGTCTAAGGTTGCTTCGGATATCTGTTACACCAATAGGTTGAGTTGGCTAATTTATATCTCGGTAAATTGTGTCTATCTAGAAGACTTGTGCATGCATTCTGCGCTGTTTATGATAAATCAGGAAATTTTCTGTATATTTCTAGCATAATCTTTCAAAATTGTCTATACATGAGTCCCACATGTTCCTACTAATGAATATCTATCCTCCTTCCAGAATCTGTCCTACTTTCCTCGGAGCATTTAGCTTCTGGAAAGAGCATTCTGAGAACAAGTGGTTGTGATGAAGGCATGAAGCAATCTTGGAATCTAAGTCAGGACAAAACATTGTCCAATAGAAGGAACCGGAGATTGGAACTAAGTCCAAGGTTGATTATTGTATAGTGAGAAGACTGTTCTCTACTGATTCTGTTGCTAAAGATGGTGATCTCTGTCATAATAGTAGCATCCTTGATGGAGCAAAAGACAATGCACGACCAACCACTATTAATGTGGAGTTTGCAGGGTTAAGTTATGCAGACTCGCAAGAACCTGGTGATGCATCACAAGCTGATGCTCTCGCATTTGTGGAAAGGTTAATTGAGGAGACCAAATCCTCATTCGATGTTGAAGTTAATCTGGGATACACTGGTGGAGAAAATTCAATTGTGTATCAGCTGCAAAAGGCCCACTAAGTTTGGCCAAGAAAACCCTCAAAAGAAGCATTCAAGAAAGAGCTGGGATCTTTGACTGGGATGACAGACTGGAAGATGAGGGAGGTGGAGATATTTTCATTAGAAGAAAGGACGATTTCGTTGGAGTCAGGTCGTTGTCAACTTCCCCCAAGGGCAGATCAAACCCACAGAAGGGAAATAAAAGGGAATTTTGAAGTTGAGAATAGGGCGACTGTACAGTCTGATTCCAAAATAGTACTTCAGAAGTTCAAGATAGCTGAAAGCAAAACTAGGAGAATTCTGAAGAAGACCAGAAAAGATCTTCTGAATGAGTTGCATGACCAGGCTAATAGGAAAAAATTAACCGGACCTCGTGAAGACATCACTGTTGCTCCAGATTTTTCCGATGCTGGATTGGGCACCCAATTAGCTGCTGAAGCCATGAGGGAATTGTTGAACGGGGACCCAGTTCCTGACTTTGATGGTAATGATGCCAAGGAAAAGCATTCTGTGGAACAGTCTCTAATGAGAAAAGCTAAAAGGCGTGCTTCTTCAAAGCAACATGCTTCTTGTGATCCTTCTGAGATTCAAGTTGACACAACGCAGTCAAAGAAAAGAAAGACCCAGTTAAAAGTTGCCGATGCCATGGAATCCAAGGAACAAAAAGAGTCTCCGATAAGAAAAGCTAAAAGGAAAATGTCTTCAAAGAAATGTATTTTTCGAATTGGTTTTCAGCCGATCGAGAGAGTTGGAAGATCTGCTCTGAAGGATGACACACTCATCGAAGACCTGTTGGTTCTATCCAGCAATGAAGATTACGAAGCCTGCATTCCTTTCCTCGAGAAAGGTACACCGTACTTCTACTATGCCTGTTTTCTCGTACTTGCAGGGAAACAAACGATTTCAATCGAATTGCTGACACGCGTTTGACGCTGTATGCTTCCAGGGGCCGCTGTCTACGGTTCAGAGCTGCTCCTGAATGGAATCGTTACGAGGAAACTAGAATACGACAGGTTAGTTAGCTTCCCTCTTCTTCTGCACCATTTGCCAGTAAGAAATGCTTTCTGGAGATTAGGGTTAATTGGTTGTCTTATGCTTGCCAAACAGGCATAGGCTCTTTTTGGATAATGTGAAGAGAACCAGGTCTACTATATGGGTTAATAAAGATGGCCACAATTACACTCCTGTGTTGAGGAACAAGTAGGACCCTAGGTCTGTTCTTATTTTCTGCTTTCCTAGGGTTGTAAATCACTAAATCTTATGGTTCCTGTTCCATTTGAAAAGAACAGTGATGTTGGTATATAAATACAACTAACAAAGTGGTCATTATATATTTTTAACAAATTTGTTACTGATGTTTGCACTAATATCATGGTTGGTAGGCATTCTTTTTCCTATCTGGTTCGTTCTTCCTTTAGATTCTGCAGCCTGCATGCTAACTCATCTTAAACAACAACAAAAACACAGATAACAGTTGGATAAGTATATGTTGTGGCCTTGTGGGCGAAATATCAAAACACATTGACAGAATGACTATTGTGCTAGTTCAAACTTCAAAGACAAAAATTGCCTATTCGGTCGACATTATTCGAGCGCTTAATAATGGTTTTTGAAACCAATCCTGATGTTTGTAGTAGCTCGGAAGGTTTCCTGCAGCACCAAATCTATTGTTCGGAATGACAGAAAACATGATATTGACTGAACAGTAAACACATTCATTTTCTTCTTTTAGGCTGTTTACAAACACTAATTTACATCAAAGGAACCAAAAAACAACAAACTCTTAACGCAATTGGCTCCCTCATGAAGTGAGGTATATAGTATAGAGAGAACACCTTAGGGAATACAAATGAAATAATACTTTGTAACATTTGCTTTCTTCTATACTGTCTTCCAAAAGCTCTAATGGTACCACTGAACTGGCACCAAAAATTCCTTCTACAAGGTGGATGGATCTAACTAGCTCACGAGGAGAGGACTGCTCCAAGTCTCCTAGATGTCGTCGTGAGTTGGAGAAGTGCAATGCCTGAACAATGTGTTGATGCCCATGGCAAACACCATACCGATTACCGAACCCAACATTATGGAGTACACCGATTCCACCTTCAACTGCCCGAGAAAACAAAACCCAGAAAAGGTCAGTGACTCGAACTGGCCCATGCGAAAACTGTCATCGAAAACTCTGTATATTCGAATCCTGTTAGAGAGTGCACGAGTGGGCTCACCATCATGTAAGAGAGGTGGATTGCCACCGACACGAGTGCGAACTCGAGTACTGCATATTTCCATACTTGTTCTTTTATCTCTGCATCAACTTTCCAGGATTTGTCAGGTTATAAGATTTGTTAGTGCAAATTTGGGTTTTCTATCACACAAACGTACCTAGAATTACAGCAAAGATTGATGCCAGAATCCCCAAGCCAAATGCAAATGGCGCTGCAATAGAGAGCCCACGAGACGTCTTCTCCTGAATCTTCAGAAATATTTGCACAAACGTCAGCGGATTTGAAGCCAGTGTCATTTTGCACCCTGAACTTTTATGAAAATTGTACAGTGTTCATACCAGAAGAAGCTCCAGAACGAAGAAGTACCCTATCGTGCTCATCAGCACCAGACACAGAAACTCCTGCACTGAACTGCAAAGCTCGAAACTTTAAGCAGAACCCAGAAAAGGAAAGCAAGAGCTCAGTAGGTGGTTTTTAGCTGTTACCTTCTTTCGTTCGTCGTCGCCCAGGTCTGGCTATCTAGGTCCTCGGTTTCTTCTTCGGTCTTCGCCAAGCTGTCTTCCCGGAAAACGATCACCGGCAAATTGGTAACCTCCTGATCGCATATCTCGCAGATTTTGTTCCCTTTTGTGCTGAACCAGCTCACTGCGCAATCTTCGTGCACCAGCCTGAGGTCGCCTTTGCAACTGCACGCCATTTTCATCTTGATCCCTTCCCTCATCGTGTCCAGGCAGATCCTGCAGATCCCGGCGTCGTCGTCTTCGGAAAATTTTCTGTCGTGGCCGGTCTCGATGACGATGGTTGGGACCTTTGGATCTGGATCATTGGGGGAGGAAAGAAAATATGAATTCATAGGGAAGGTAGAAAGCACGCAAGGTGTTTGTGAAAATGCGTCAGTGAGCAGACGGCTTTGCGCGCTAGGTGTTTGTGGAAATGCGTGACTGACCTTTGGAAGGATGTACTAGGAGCTGCTGCTCTTTCGGCGGCCGGCGGTCTGAGCCTGGGGCCGAGGCTGAGATAGGAGCCGTGGGTGTGGCGGGAAGCGAGTTGCAGTCTCGCCAGCAGAGCGGTTGTCTGTTCTTGGTAGGACTGTCTGGAGGAGCTGTGTAGAGTGAACTGAGACAGAGGCTCCTCCGTCCACCACCACCACCGCCGCCATCGTCGAATATGGAGCTGTTGATCTTGAACCGCAAGCTGTGACAGTGGAGTATGCCTTTCCCAATGCTGCTGTCAGCATAACAAGGGGCTGGTCCGATTGGGATCTCGATCGAAAGATGCGAGCTTTTGCTGCGCCCTGAAACTTTTACGTCCGAGACGGGCCACCCATTTTCCAGATCGACCTGAAAGAATCAGGAAACCTGAGAATGATCAGCTTGAGAAAATTCTGGACATTTGGCTCATGGGAATGGTACAATCCCCTTTTCCACGCATCAATGACTTGGTTGATTGATCCCGGATTGAACTGAACCGGATCGAAGGTACTAATTCAATACCTTCTCATCATCTAAGTGTCATTAAACTTTTCAGGTGACAAAATTTACTTCTCACAACACAGAAGATCCATTCTAGATGGATAAGCCAGGTTGACTGATCAATTGAATCAAACCAGATCATGATAACCCGAGCGAGACGAGAAGACAAACCTGGAGATCAGAAGGGGAGGCTGCTTCTACATCAAGATCAGAACCTTGCATCTGTAAGTTTTTTTTTTTGTCTTCTTCCTTCTCCGACAACAACCTTGTGCGAGCTTGAAATTCTGAGAAATGGGTTTTCTTCTCCACTTTGCTGAAACAGAACCTGAGAGACAAAATGACAGTAACCATCAGGTGTTTGTCGTGGAAGGAAACATCATAAAAACAAACGGCAGAATTATGATCCGGGAGAAGAACCAAGTAGGTAGATTACACACAGCTGCGCCTCGAGCCGGCCAAAACAAGTTCAGGGTTGATTCGGACGCCAATCAACGACGATGTTGGATCTTCTCGAGCAGCCAGCAATAAGAGACAAGGTCAGTGAAATAAAATTAATGATGGGGATTGGGGGAGTTCAAGTGGTACAGGGCATTGTCAAATCTTCCCGACATTATTATATGCTTTTGTAGTAATCAGGAAAGGATGATGAATGTCGGATTATCCGTTTGTTTGTTTGTTCTGTCACAAAGTGTGACTCGGACAAAGGCAGAAAAAGTGGTGGGGAGGCCGGCCTTGTGTGGCGCTGTTTCATGTTATGTTCTTTAATTAGGGAGAAGCTCTATCCAGTTATTTGCGCTTCTGGCGACACTGAACCACTTCGCCCCAGACTCTCGAGAATGTGTTAGTGGATGTGGTTAATGGTGGATTTTTACTTGTGAAGATTCATACATGTTATCCACGAATTTACGCATTGCGAATTAGTAGTTGTACTAGTGAGTTTGTGGATGAGATGTGTGAATCTCTGTGAGATAAATGTATAAGAAAAAGAAAATAAGAGGATCTGGATTTGTATGCTTAACTGATTTAAACTATGTGTCGTACTTGGGATTTCAGTTTCTTGGTAGTGTTTTAATTTTGGATATGTTTCCTGTTGTTGGGTAGTTGTTTTTTTTTGAATTGATGATAAAGCCACTCATCTCCAATTTCTCTCCAATTTAGTCATTTGATACTCTAAATTAATTGGTGATTTACAATCTTACTATTAATTTTGTAACATAATACGATCCTGCTTGAACTTATAACATCCTTATCAAAAAAGACAAATTAGCCACAAAAACATTCAAATTGTTAAATACGGCATGAAATGGTACAAGGAAATGCTATAAAAATATGCATTTTGTTATAGACTCTTATGATAGAAATAACGGTTAGGACTTTGCCATGGTGACTTACAAATTACTATGATTTGAAGAAAACGGTCGTCCCCTTTTGGTAAACGCTCGATTCTGACATTGTCGATTGGATGAATAAAGTGAAATCAACGTATTTGGTTATAGATGTCCAATGTTAATAGATATGCTTGCTGGTAAAGTGCTGAAGTGAGTACAAAATATGGAGCATACATGAGAAGTTTCTCAGGTCATTGTTTTCTTGTATATTTGGAAGCTGCTTTGCGGGGTTGTTTCTTATATTTGACTTATTCCATCAATACTTTCACCTATCATTTAAATTCTAATTTTGCTTGTGTTTGTAATTTTATAATTGTCTATTGTTGAAACAACTTTTCCTTTTATCGTTGTTAGGAAGAGACTTAAAAAGTAGGGTATTGTTGTTGCAAACAAGGGTTTGACCTGATGTGGTATCACTAGTATTGAACTTGGAGGTCTCATATTTGAATCCTTTTAGTGGCACCTAACTATAAAAATCAACATACACCCCTTTATGCAATTGTATCATCTTCACCGTTCATAAATTTCAAAACATCTTGCTTTCACAAGTTCTTATTCAATGTCAAAAGATGTGCTTTTTTTTTTTGTCTAAGCCGATAATCTTCCTTAAAGTTTGGTTTCCCGTGAGTTATAAGATGTTACATTACTAGAAAATAATTTTGTATCGTGGGCCTCGTTTTGTTCATTATTCTCCGACTGTAAGTAACGTAAGTGTGTCATTCAGTTCATTATTTGTTGGAAACGGTCAACCATTTGTCGAAAGAGCTCGATCGTTTTCCGAAAGCAATTGACCCTTCTTCAGAAGCGATCTACCATTTGTGGGAAGATATCAATCATTTTCCAAAAGAGGTATGCTATTTCCAAAAAAGGTCATCGATTGTTTTCTCCAAATTACAATGACTCTAAGTTACAATAGACCTACTCGGTTAGGCTCGATAAATGATTTGTCAGTGATTGATAAGACAACTATTTGCAGAATGAGCAATCAGTTCATGATGGGCTCGTGGGATCTTGCGGAAGACATTAAAGGAAAATGATGGCATGAAGTATTTTCCTTGCAAAAAAACTAGTCCACGCATAATATAATAGCAGGAAGGAAAAAACCATTTCCCCATTTCGAATTTCCTACTCCATGAGCGTTTGTAGGAAGAGTAGAATAGGAAGTGTCAATTTTTTTCTCTCTTCCTATGTGGAACGGGTCAACTTATCGTACACATGTGGATTTAAACGAGCCTAGAAATTGTTGCGGCCCACAAAAATAAAACAGGTTTCTTTAAACCCTTTTATTTCTCGGCGTTGGTAAGATATAGGATAAATTGCAAGTTTGGTCACTTAAATTACTATAAAAGTTCATGTTTGCCATAAGATTAATTTATTCTATTTGGGGTCACTTAAATTAGTTAAACGGTTCAACTTTGATCACTGGCCGTTACCTTCCGTTAGTTTACGTTAACGGCGTCAGTGAAATGGTGATGTGGCTAACAGAATTGCCTTGTCACCCATTTTTAACCAAAAAAAGTCAAAACCCGACCCGCCACATAATAAAATCCTGCCAGGTCATTAGAACCTAACCTAACCCCTAATACGACCCTCTCGACCTAACCTCCCATAATCATTCCCAATTTCCTCATCCCTCTTCTCTATAACCCCCTTGTCCCCGAGCTCTACAAACAGAGACCCGACAGCGGCTCCGGTCTCCCTCCTTCCTGTCCGCGATAATCTCCAGCATCAAGGCCTGCATTAGAGACTGTTACGACCTCACCAGAAGTGTGCCGACCTCTCCTACAGAGGGAAGCGATTTGGATGTTTTGGCTGCCCACACTGTCAAGGTTTTCTATTGCAATAAATTAATCTTTTCTTTCACTATTTTTTATTTTCAAATAGAAAGTTTAAAAATAAAGAATAATTGGAGTTTGTCATGGGTCGGTCAAACAAGCTAAATTTCAAGTTTTGACCCGTTTTGATCAAGCCTAATTTATAATCACATGGTTCCCTGATACCTAATAAAAATCTCAATCCAAACCAGTTCGGCAGCTGAGTCCGTGTTTACCACCATTTTATAGAGATACAGGAACGGCGTTTCCTATCCCAAATCGTGTTGTTCGTTCTTGATTCTTTAGATTTTATCATGGCCTGGCAAAAACCAGAAAGCACAATGACGACAAGATGAAAGTTTTATAAAGCAAATTAATCGACCAACGGGCCGAGTAAAAGCTAGCAACGATTGTGAGATGCTCATTTTCCGAAGACCGATGGGATATGCGATTTTTTATTCGGTTTTCTGGAATTCGGTTTCTATAAAACTTACTCCACCTCATTATTTAACCAGAAATAATATTGTTTCACAAGGTAACAGGTACTTGATTTTAGTTCATAAGGCTGATTTTTGATTCGTTGCATCATCCATGTCTCTTTCCTGCTAAAATTCACTATCTTTATCACGTGTTTCCCAAAAAAAAACTATACAACAATAAACTATACACCCCATTACATTCTCAAATTTCATATCTCACCTTCCTCCGGCCAACTGGCCAGGACCCACGCTAGTGGGCCCGGATAGTATAACAACACCCCTTGTGTTGTTATAGTAACATCAGGGGTAAAAGGGTCCATAAACAAATATCTAACAAATTAAAAAACAAATTCAATATTGAGCGACGTCATCTCTCCATCTGCATATCTCTTCCCTCTCGGCAGCTTCTCCTCCATCGCTGGGAACGCGGCGAACAGCAGCCGGTTAGCCTGGTCGACCCTCCCCGTGTCCTTCTCGTGATCCCCAGCAACGGCGATGAAGGCGCTGCTAACGTTGGAGGCCTCTCGCTGCGCGAACCCGAAGAACGAGAGCGGCGGCGGGAGGAAAGAGAACGACGACGCGCGGCGGCTAGGAAGAACGAGAACGGCCGCAATCGCCGACTATGGCTCCGACGGCCACACATTCTATGTCCTCCACAACTGCCTCTCCACCTTCCGGATCTGGATTTCAGATTTGATAGTCAAAGGAATTGAAGAGGAGCATCAACGGATTGTATGGCTTTCTCATTTACTTCTTTCTCTTTTTGTGAGTTATAGCCGCCTGAAATTGGAGTTCTGGAGGCATTCAGGTGGGATTGTTGTCATCTCCTGGACTCATCTTCTCGAGTTGCCTATCGCTCTCTTCTCATCTTCTTCCTCTCCTATCTTTTGGATCCAATTTCTTTTTTTCCAAATATTTTACCTTGCATGCGGATATGTAATATCCTCCCTCCAGCCTCCGTCGCATCTCCGCTCGCCGCCTCCATCTCACAACAGCTTTGCCATTAATTATTTATCTCCTCAATCTCTCAGGTGAGTGATGACCCCTGTTTTCGAGTACGCTAAAAACAGAGCAGCAGCAGAAAAATAGAGTAAATCGGCGTCGACGGAGTAAGCAGCGTCTATCTGACAGTTTCGGTGAGAAACATTCAGCGGCTGAGGTGGGTAGAGAGGGATGGTTTGTGGGTACTTAGCGAAATTTCCAAGTCTCGAAGGGTTGGAGTGAAGCAGATTTTGGTGGCCATGGATGCCACTCCCCTGAAGATGAAGCGGTTGAGTACGAAAAGAGAGTTAAAGTGAGCACATTTTTTGGAGCACATTTTCTCTGAATATATACAGGTCATCCAAGGTTGGGACCTCTTGTTTTTTCTGTCATCAAACTTGTGTATTAAGCCTGCCTCTGGTAGTTAATTAAGAGAGAACTATGTAATTATGTATACAAACCTGGTAAGTATACACATCAATAATTATTGTTACTAATTCCATTAATCTAGTAGGAACGTCGGATAGAATAACAAATCTCACAAAGCATACCACAATTATCTCGAAAGCATACTAGAAACCTCCTAATGCATACTATAAATTGTCTAAAATATACCAGAAACACGGTAAAACAAACCAGAAATATTTCTAAAGCACACCAGAAACCCCCTAATACAAACCACAAACACGATAAAACAAACCAAAAACGTCCTAATGTACACCACAAATATATCAAAACAAACCAGAAACCTCGCAAACCAAACCACAAAAGTTTCGAAAGCATACCAGAAACTTCGTAATGCAAACCAGAAACCTCCTAATGCATACCAGAAATCTCCTAAAACAAACCACAAACCCCACAAAGCAAACCACAACATTTGCGAAAGCATACCAAAAACCTCCTAATGCAAACCACAAACATAGTAAATCAAACCACAAAAAAGCAAACCATAAACGTCCTAATGCAAACCACAAATATATTAAAACAAACCAGAAACCTCACAATGCAAACCACAAAGTTTTTGAAAACAAACCAGAAACTTCTCAATGCAAACCACAAACACAATAAAACAAACCATAAAAGGCATAAAAAAATATGAGAAACCAAACCATAAATCTCACAATGCAGACCATAACATCCGGTGGTCGTTGACCGTTGACCGGTCAACGAAGACCGTTGACCGAACTCCGGTGACCGTCAGTGAGCAGATTCCGACGCCGATAGGCATATTCCGGCCCCGGTGACTAGATTCCGACGCCGGTAAGCATATTCCGACGCCGGTAAGCATATTCCGACTCCGGTAAGCATATTCCGGCGACAAAAAGCATATTCCGGTGACCGGCGACCATTTTCCGGCGACCGATGGCAGAATTCCGACGACCAAATTTTTGGGCAGAAAATAAAAAAATATTTTTTTATTTTTATTTTTTTATTTAAATAAATTTTTCATAATGACAATTATACCCCTGCTTTGATTTTACACTAGGTCAACTCATTTAATAAAAAGTCATCACAATCCTAGCTTCCTATTGGTTGGAGACTAGTGTTGTTACAATAACAACACAATGGGTGTTGTTACAATAACCGATCCCCACGCTAGTAGAAAGTACACAACAACGGAAAATAATTAAATACAATTTTTTTTTGTGACGGTAGCAGGAAATTTTCGGTCGGGTGTAACCTCTGTAATGTAGAAGTAAGGACGATTCAAAGAAGACAAATACGGAAATTTGGAACGGGTCAAGAAAAAGGAGCCTTTGTCCCCCAAATTATGGAACTTTGTCCACCACATGTTTGATATTTAAATTAGTTAAAATCGTGACTTACAAATTACAATCCATTCGTATAGATCATAGTTAGTAAAATACGGTACGGGAAAGTTATGTATAAAATACGTATGGGTATTTTACTTTGCCTCTAAACTAATGTTACGTTTCATAGTACGTTAATAGTCATAAATATATAAAAATAAATTATTTTACAATAATATGGATACGGAAGTTTTAAACGGATAAAATACGTACGAATACATATACGTGTATTAAACGGAGTATTTACTAACTATGATATAGATACAATATTGAAGCTATTACATAATAGAATCATATGACTTTCATCAAATATAATTGAACAATTTAGATTCGAGCTCGTGGAAGAATGAGTTTCGCTCAATCTAAGAGCGATTGGTGGTTTTTTTAGACTGATAACATGACCAATTGCTTTAGACTGATAACATGAGTTCAATCCAACCTAAATCAAGTGCTGTCAAGACTCAGGAAATGACGAAACTCTTCATAATACACATAGTTAGGTTCGTCATACTTCAAAATTTATGATTCCTTTTTTTATTCACAAAACCGAAAAATTCTAATATTACGAGAAGTGTCTTCTATCAATTTATTACCACGTTGTACCGTCTAAACCACAAGTAACCAAACTAATATGTTTTTGCGACACAATATGAATATATGATAATACCTTTAACATGATTTTACTACTATACTTGAAACTATTAGTCCCTCCAAATTTATCTAATGATTCTTAATTTTTTTATGATATGATAATTGAGAAGGATTTTGACATGGTTTTGCCTTAATACCTCAGGGCTCAGATTTCCTTGCCATTTGTCAAATTGTAGGAGCGGATTCAATTGGCCCAATTCAGCCAACAAGCCCATAATTCTTGCAGATCGGCCCATTCCATAGGCCAGTTAGTTAACACTACATCGATCCAAACTTACTATTGTGGTGCCATTTGCCTACTATTTCCATTTTCGCAGCCTGGAATCTTGGAACTCCAGTAAGAAGGACTATACACAATAACACAAACAACTGCCTCTTGCCAGTTATCACCAGCCACTTCATATCAGATTTTAGCCCCGCAAATTTCAGTTCCAAGTCACACAGGGGGAGCATTGAGCACAGCATTCCGAGCAGCCCCAGCTCGCCAGACGAAGTACTGAACGTACAACGAGTTGAGGCTCATGGCCGCAGCAAACCCGAAAACTGCTGCTAGAAGTATCGCATAGATAGCATCCAGATCGAGCTGTCAGAAAGAACCACACGTTAGGGATATATATTCGTTGCAAGATATGTTATTCTTGTACATTCATTCCTCGACAATAAGTGAGTTACTTACAACGGAGTAGAAAATGTGCACGGTCACAGCCACCAGCGCAAACTCGAGTGCGGCGTATGTCCATATGAATTCCCTGATGGCTGCAAAGTTTCATGCAATGCAAGCGTCATCTTTGTTGAGAATCGGGGAGATTTGATTTTGATCAAATTTGATTGGGTAAGGAGATTCAGGATTGGTACCTAGGATGACTGCAAATATCGATGCCATGACGCCTAAAGCAAATGCAAATGGTGCAGCGATTACGATTGCTTGTGTCTTCATGTCCCGGATCTACCAAAATGCCAATCCTTACTAAAGATACTAACTTCGAGATAAGGATGCATGTAGCCATGAAGTGAATTCGTGTATAACAAATAGCAAAGTAAGCATACCAGTAATTGCTCGAGGAAGAAGAAGTAGCATATCGTGCTAATCAAGACGAGCACAACAAAATCCTGCCAAGCACTGCAGCAGAATCCGATAAATGGGGAAACAAGGGTTCAGTCAAACAAGCTGAAAGGAGTTTTATACATTTGACAGAACCCTGAAGTTCGTACCTTATTTGTTGAGCCCTCAAGCTCTGGCTACCACCAGGTGGCTGCCTGCCATTGAACTGGGCGTAGCTTGTTACACGGAACAAGATCACAGGTAAGTTCTTGACTTCCTGACAACAGACTTCACAGTTCTTGTTACCTTTGGTGCTGAACCACTTGATGGCACATGATTCGTGAACAAGTCGGAGGTCACCCTTGCACCCACATTCCATTTTGAGCGTGTTTCCTTCTTCGCACGCATCAAGACAGATCCTGCATACTGCTTCCTCTTCTGGGATGTGTTCATCATCGTCTTCCTCATTGGACTCCGTAGTTATTTGTGCTGCAAGTTTATAAAATGGTTCATTCCTGTCTGGAGGACTTATATTCCCTTCTAAGCTTCTCAATTACGGGAATCAACTAGATATACTTATATGCATGTTCAGAAGAACTTTTCAAGGCCACAAATGCTAGGATTTGCAGCTAAGGAGTTTCATAAGGTTGAGAAATTATGGAACTGTAAGGAAGAGAGAACATCATGTGCTAATGACATACCGTTAGAAGAGTCACCAGTGGTTTGCTGTCTGGGAGTAGCAAAGGAGGTAGACCGTACAATGACAAAGTTTCGCCCCGGAACAGAAAGAGACCTTGAAACTACAACTTTCTGTGGGTAAAAAAGGAGAGGAAACAAAGAATCCTCTTAACCAAGTTGTTGTCTTCTACAAGATTCGATGACATGATCCTCAATGCCTAACTATGACTAATAAACCAAGATTAGATTAAACACATTGCAGCACTATAAAGAGCTGAACTTACCTCCGATTCACGAATTTCACCGGGCAATCGAGCTGAAACAGGAGTTTGAACTGAGACTGTGGGAGACAAAGCTGAAGCGGGTGGAAGTGATGTGCATCTGGAAAATGCAGATTTGAGATTGGCTATAATAGGACTAACTGGAGGTTGTTGTGAATAGGTTTCTGAGTTGAGCAGAGAGCTCCTCTCACCCACAGACCCTCCGCCATTTCTCTTCTTGAAGCTTAATGCCCTCAGAAAGCCTCCTCCCGATGATGATGACGACGAGCTAGCAGTTTGAGAGTTCGGCAATCCTTTCCCAAATCGGCTAGCTCCAAAACTTACTGGTCTAGGTGGTATTAGAAGAGAAAGATCAGCCTTCCTAATGCTTGGTCCTGCCCCATTAACTTCATCATTAGATGGTCTCCCATTGCCCACATCACCCTACAATGTGTGAATCAAATTGTTCTTATAAACAAACTGTTGGAGTACAGGCATCATCCTATGCAAAATAGAAGTACGACAATAGCAGTCCAAATTTTTAGGGTTCATTTGAGGAATAGTTCACCCAGCTCTGCACTACTTTTTCCGTAAAAGGGATCAAGCAACCACAATCAACTCAAACAAATTCAAATTGCTCTCCAGATGTACAGTGTAAATGTCTTCTTGCACGGTTAAAATTGGTCACCCCAAATTGGATGAAGTTCCGATGATCAGAACACCCAAACAACCTAAAGTAGGCATTTTGATGGGGGGAAACAATAAAAGTTGGCAACTTTTCCAGTTGGGTATCGAGAAAATCCCCTCCCCCCTCATATCTGGGTCCTTACTGAAGATGGGTAAAAGCACAAGAACAGATTCATTTAAAAAGGCAAAAAGCACAACAGGAAAGAAAAGTGGGATCGATATCTAGCTCGAAAAGGGGATAAAAGACAAATATTTGAACTGTGTATAGAAGAAAGAGCAATTAAACCAAGGAGGGAACAATTGAACAAAACCTGTGAATAAGAAGAAGAAGATGAAGATGAAGCATGTGAATCTCCAACTCCATTAACGCCTACAGTCTGAGACTGAGCTGGGTTCATACTTTGTTTTTCCCCAGATCTAAAGACGAATTTTCTGCAGGGGAAATGAATCTCCAGAAGGATTGATAATCTCTAAGCATCAATATCTATCTGGCTGTACACTTACCAGTACCCGAAAAGAGAAAGAAAGAGAAATAAGCAAGTCAGGACAATCAGCACTAACCCCACAAGACTACAAGGGCATGTTAGAACTTAAAACCCAAGCATTAATGGGGGAAACAGAAGGGAAATTGCCAAATTTCCCTCCCAGTGTAGAAAACTTAGAAAAGAAGGGACCTTTAATTCTAAACAACAACTGGGCTATGACTTATTATGACCCATTTTCTCAAACAACTGTTGAAACTTTTGATTACTTGTTTCTGGAAACTGGTTGGTTTAGGTGGGAAGGTGGGAGACATACAAATTCCTATCATATTATTATACAAGTAATTAAGGTCCATGCCGTTGTCTCGTTATAGTGTGGAAACCGACCGCCAGAATTTTCCATTTATAAGACGGTAAGAAATATTCCTAGTTCATGCTAATGCAAAATTAGTAGTGGAGAATGAGAATACAAAATTACGAGGTTGTTTGATTCTTAATTTTATGTGTTTGGCAAATGGAGGGCTAGGATAAGGTAGCATGGCTGGATATGTTAAAGACCTCTTTCTTTGTTTGCTCCGCTCCTAGGATCTTTGGGGATGCTTGTGCCTGCGGTCTTGTGAGGGATTGATTAGCTGACATCCACTCTGATTATTTTTTGGTTTAGTTATGCTTGATTTGGTTTGGTGTAATTGGAATGAGAGAAGCGATAGGGTTTTTAGATAATGTGAGAAACCAAACATTATACTTTTGTATAAGATTGATCATTTAGTTGGGGGTTGGGTTAGAGCATTTGATAGGGGTACAAGTAGAGAGTGGCGATTGAGTTACGAAATTTAGCTTGCAGTAGAGTTGAGGTTTATATCACTATTGGTTTAGTATCGTACCTTCTAACCTTATTATTATTAGATATATGGACTAGTTGATCACTTCGAGGAAGGATGTTCATATTAGGTGGATGTAAGTTTCTTGTCAAACATACTTATGCTTTTTATCATTGTCATTCTTGGGGACGAATCATAGTTTGTGATATATTTCCCTTTTAATATATGCACGTATCATTCATAAGAAAAAAATGTTAAGACCTCTTTAATGTGGATATTTCAACAATTCAACTTATTATTATAGAATGGGTAGTTTCAATATTATTAGATTGATGTCTTCATTATGTGTACCTAGGTACAACAATGGCTATCAATGTTTAGACAGTTTTAGTTATCATGGAGATTTTTGGACAATTTGTAAGATACAAGATGTCTATAAAATTAATTTGATTCAAATAACGGATGGTTAAGAATTTTGAATTTAGGAATTTTATTGTTATGCTAAATAGTTATTCATTATATAATAATATATACTACGATGACCAATTTTGAAAGTTTTTTTGTGCATATATTCACTATATTAGTACTTAAATATTCATTTTTAAGTGCGAGTTTGGTGATTGTGATAAGTTTTTAAAAAGTGACATAGTCATTTGGTTAGCATACATTAATTGCCTTTACGTAGACTATTTTTCACTTATTTTTATTACGAAGTCATGGTTTCAATTTTCATCATGAAACAACAAAACGGCAGAGAATTGAACCAAACATATAAACATAGAGGGTTGAGAAATAATCAACACACAGCTTGAGCGATGACGGAGTGAGATCAAATCTGAAGGTTCACCTGTTTGAGAGCCTTTCGAGCCCTCCACAAAGGTCCCCATTAAATGTCTTTGAGAACACCATAATGAACCTTGATAAGGATCAAACTCGAGATCTATCACTTCCCAAATGAGCGTCTACTAAGGGTCTCACCATTAGACTATGTGAACTTTGTCACTACTTCACATTTCAATTTCATATTTTGTTGTTTGCCTTTCCTATTCCAAGATTTAGTGGTAATTTTGTATTCATATTTATATGGGTTTCCGTTACTTACCATCCAACACCTAAAACACAAAACAAACAATGTATTTCGACAAATAGAAGAATACAATTTTCAGGAGATCAATCAGGAAAACCTAGCAGTGGTACACATATAACATGATACTCTCGATTGAATTCACATTATTCTCATTTATATCCAAAGCATAGTTAGTAAGATATGGTACGGGAAAGTTACGTATAAAATATGTACGAGTATTTTACTTCGTCTCTATGCTAATGTAACGTTTAATAGTACGTCAATAGTCATAAATATAAAATTAATTATTTTAAAAATAAATAAATAAATAAATAATAGTAAAGTTAATAATTCAATTCATTAAATATGGATATTAAACGTGTTATACGGGTTTTATACGTGTTTAATACGTGAGCTATCAAATGAATGGACAAAAATGAAACAGTTTAACAATAATACGGATACAAATGTTTTAAACGGATAAATTACGTTCGGGTACATATGCGTGTATTAAACAGAGTATTTACTAACTATGATCCAAATTAATTAAGAGAATAATACAATTTTCAGGAGGTAAATAAGGAAAACCTAACAGCTCGATCGACCTGAAACATGGAGGCTGGCTGGCAAGAAAGTGCAGAGACGGCATAAAGGAGAAAGAAGAAACGCCGGCCGAGCACAGTAGGCAGTGACGCTTGCCAGCCGGCCGATGGAATCTCAAACGAGCCCGGCCGTTAACTTCAGCTCTTCAAATATTATATCGATGTGTCAAAATCATGCCCAAATTTAGATTCCCATAAAGCTTTTTTTTTTAGTAAAATATTCGTTGGAGCCGATTTCTCATTTGTTTTGGAAATGGTAGTTACATATTCTCGATACAAGAATCATAATAATGCTATCATCATATTACTACACACGTTTTTATTATTTGGTATGAATTTAAACACGTTTCTTTAATTAATTAGTTCATCAGCTCAATAGATGAATTACACATGTTTTATGATTATTTGATTGGAAGAAGGTTAATTAGGAATCTATTATCTATATTACACGGCCCATCAAACAAAAATCAATCTATATTACACGGTCCTCTGCACTCCGTTTTAAAAAGAAAAACTAAGATCAACACGTGTGTGTTACAAGTGGCGGAGCCACGTTGTATCCTGGAGGGGCTATAGCCCCCTCAACTTTCAAAAGTAAGTAAATTTTAATGTAACATTTATATTAAAAATTTGAAAAATAGACTAGTGGGTAAGGCTGTAGCCCCATTATTAATGATCATGGTTCAAATTCCTCAAACGTACATTTTTAGTCTCACTTGTTCAGATTTCTGATTTCGCCTCTAAATATTGTGGATCCATATTACACGCCCCTTCAAATGAAAACCAATTTATGCATTTGAACTTTGAAGTTCGCATAAACGTATCATAACATGTGCTTTAAATTAACTGTTGGTATTAGAAGTCGTGAAGATTCAAGCACACGATCACTTGCCTAGATCAATTCTAATATCATGCATAACTAATTTGTCTCAATAAATCAAATTTTTGGAAAAAGATAATTATTATAGATGTTATAGACCAATGTAGCACAAAGCAATTATCAATTCACCCTAAAACCCTAAACATGTTAATTGACAATTGTAACTCAAGAGAGTGAAGCCCAAAGTTCCGACTTACGATCCGCGAGTCTTCCCCAACAGCGGCCTGCTACTCGCTGTGGAGGAAAAGAATTAAGTTCGGCCCAGCGACTGAACTCGTTCCATCAACTCGCGAACCATCCCCTGTGAGAAAGGCCTGTCAGACGTCAGTGTCATCCGATTCCGTGACTCGGCATCGAAGGAAGGTATCTGCTGCGCTCAGTTTGGAGCTCTGGAATCGTAGATTGTTTGTTTGCTAGAGGTCTTTGATTCCTTCGCCGGCGCTGAGAATGAAGTTTCTAGATTGGTATGTGAAGATAGCCGCCGGTTCTGCTCTAATCGGAGCTTCCATGGAGTTCTTCATGATCAAGACGGGCTTCTGTGTGAGAATTCTCCTTTCCCCCGCCCTGTCTCTCTCTCTCTCTCTCTCTCTCCCGTTCCTTCTCTTGCACTGGTTTTTTCGATTCACTGCATCTAGCTTTTTTTTTATTTTTTTATCAATACATCGAACGATTTTCTTCCTAGTAATGCAATTTTAATTACGGCAACACAACTAGTCTATGAATTGCCATCGATTGAACTCTCTGATAAGCTCTGTAGCGTGAATTGCTGTTGTTAGATTTGTTTTTAGGGTTTGGGTGTGTATTTTGTGGTGTTTAAGTTGCTGTTAAATCATGCACTGTTTAGTATCTTAATTGGAATAGTGAGTGCCATTTTTTGGGGGAAAAGTTAATCTGCTAACTTGAAAATTCGTTAGCAGATACTAACTGATATCCAAAATACATGAACTAGTATCCAAGTACTAAAGTATCTAGAGATCACATACTAGTATTCAAAGTTTGCTAACTGATATCCACCACGAATCAACTATTATCTCAAATTCACAAACAAATATCTAGACAACACAGAATAGTATCCATACAACACATAATTAGTATCCACATAACACATAAAAGTATCCAAATAACACATAAGAGTATCAATATTGAATACTAGTTGGTTGATTGTGGATATTAGTTGGTATCTGCTATCTGGATACTAGTTTGTGATGTTTTGAATACTAGTCTGTGCTATCTAGTTACTCAGCAAACTTGGATACATGTTCATACATTTTGGATATTAGTTAGTATATACTAACAACTTATGCAGTTAGCAGAAAGCATCCATCTTTCTACTTCAAGATTGAATCTGAAAACGCTGGTTGAGTTCCGATTGCTGTTGGAATGAAAACATTCACTGGCTTCTTGTTCATGATGTTTAGCTGGTAGAGTTTGAAACCCTATTGAAACCATCTCCTTGTGAATTGGCATAAGAGAGTTAATTTGTTAGCTGGCATTGCTGTGTCTTCTATTGTCTGATGTGAGATTTTCGACGTGTTTATTCCATCCTTTTGTAGACGATAAGGTGACGGTTCTGGAGTCCGAGAAACGTGCTTGGGAGAATACTCCTGAAGCTCAAGCGATGAGGGATGCTTTGAATCCATGGAGAAACCATGAGAAGCAGTCAGAAAAGACTTCCTGATGGTCTTCGAATCAACCTTAGCCCAAAGTGGAGCGACATCCAGACGGAACTACTTCAGCCTTGCATACTGATCACTGAGTAGCTCTCTCACTTGTTCTCATCATGTTGCTGCTGCTTACAGAGTTTGTTTGTTTGTTCTTTCCCCTACTTTTGGATGC